GGTTAGATAGATAGACAGATCTGTCTATCACTGTGTGTGTGAATTGAGAGCCACACCCTATCTCTCTCTCTCTCACTTTCTCTTTCTTTCGGTTTTGACTATTTTACAGCACAGTATAGAGTTGAGTTTTCTTTAAACTCTCTCAATGGCACACAAAAGGAAGATCAGAAGCTGCATCCTAATGTACACATGTAAGTGTTGTTTGTTTTCTCATACTGTCAGTGAAGCTTTATGAACTAGATCATGTTTGGAGCTCATTTTAAAAGTGAAAGAAGAAGAACTCAACTTCCCACTCATTGTTAGCTTATTGTTATTGTTAGCAGGGATATTCATGTTGGGAAATGCATGGTTTTCTTTTGACAGTTAAAAGCCAAACTCACACTCTCATTGCGTTTCACAGACTTTAATGAGCTTCTGTGCCATCGTCTGTGATCTTCTTTTATGTAGGAGACATGAGCAGATGAGCAGGTGTTCAGATCATGATAGTATCCCTGTTGCTCATGCAGTAAATCATGGCGCTTGCAACACCAGCATCATGAGTTTGATTCCCAGGAAATGCATTAACTGATCAGACGTATACTTTGAATGCAGTGAAAGTCGCTTTGGATAAAAGCGTCTGCCAAATGCATGAATGCAAATGTTCACCGGATAACAACTAAGAAATGCAGGTGCATGTAATGAATGTACATCATACAGGAGCACTGCACACAACACTATCACTGTTTGTGACTGTGAAACCACAGTGGGATAAAAGTGTAAAGATCACTGTATAAATAAGTACAGCAAAGAGTAGCCAGAAATATACTGTGGAATGAGATTTAAACCGAAAGAGTCTGAAGCATGTGAGCACTGCAGTGTCAGGAAATGATGTGCGGCTCAAACCCACAGGAAACTCATACATCCTTTAACTCACAATTAGGAGTTTCCTCAATTACAGCTGGAGGTTTTCATGGTTGTGATCTGGTTCCTGTAGATCTGCTGGCGATGCCGTCTGGACGCGACGCTCTCTCGTGCTGCAGAAGAGATTTCACCAACAGCTCGTCCTCTTATGAGCTGAGTGACCGTCCAGACCCGACCTGCCACACGCACTGGAGCGCTGACGTGAGTCTGACCATCACGTATGGAAGCCCATCCCTGCCACATAAGAGCAAAATGACATGAAAAGTCATAATTATGAGATAATGTCATAATATACGACCATAGACAATTATGAGATAATAAAAAAGTCATAATTATGAGATAAAAAGTCCAAATTAGTCACAGTTTAGATAACATCATAATTATGACAAAAGTCAATTATGAGATAAAAATTCAAAATTATGACATACAAAGTCATAATTATAACACACTAAGCCATATTTAGGAGATGAAGTTGAAATGATGACATAAAAAGAGAAAATGATAATATATTAAGTCAATTATGAGATAAAGACTGTCCACTGTGAGATAAAAAGTTGACATTATGAGATAAAACAATATTTCTGACATAAAAAGTCATATGATATTAAAAAAATCGAAATAATGACGTACTGAGTTACAATTATGAGACAAAGTTGAAATTATCAGTAAGAAGGTTATTTCCTTTAACCAGGAAATTAACGTTCTTAGAATTGACAAGACGGTTGACCCTGAGTGGTCAGCTAAATATCTACAGTGGATCTAAAATATGAATAGTTAATTATAACTAGTTATGGTTAATTATTCATATTTTCCATGAGCTGATTTGCTACATATGATATAAAACAATTATGACATAAAAAGTCAACATTATGATATAAAAGTCTAAATTATGAAATGCTAAAAATCTAATTTATTACAGAAGAAAATTCTGACATTGTGTCATAATTATGGGATAAAACGTTGCAAGTATGAAAATTAAGACATTCTACGTCAATTATGACAATAAATAAATAAATTACAAAAAAATTGACAAAAAGTGAAAATTGACTAATATTTTCCTACTTTTTTCCTTTACTTTTTTTAAATGAAATTTTATGTCATAATTTCAACTTTTTGTCATGATTATGATTCACCAAAGCATGTTTTTTTTCTTCTTGGAAATGGGCTTCCATCATTAGAGTCTTCATCATACTCTAGAAGTATTATTAATTGTGAATATCACTCACAAAAACATGAAATATGACACAAAACTCTTCTTACAACTCAAGCTGTATATGAAGGCTTTCTGATCTGTAGGATATAGTTGTGGTTGATGAGACAGGAGGGGTGGACAAGACCAGAGCTCATCATGCAGGACCCCAGACCCTCATTCTGAGAGGAAAACACACTCTTGTTATTTTCCAGATGGACTGTGCTTTACTGAAGGTGAGGAATTCTGTATTATCTGTCACATCAATGATGCACGATAAAGACTGTCATGAAATGCAGTGTTGTTTTGGGCAGTGTTAATATATACAGTATATATATATCTAAAACAGCGAGTGTTTCTCATGTCTTCTCACCTGTGTCTCTCTGCAGCACTCTGTGGTAATCCTTTGTAAGGGTGAGTGCAAAAATAATTTACTGTATGAAAATCAAATCTGTTGTGTTTAATTTTCCCCAGATGTCAGTGTTAAATACTTAACTTTGGGGATGTTAAGATACCTTGAATGAAGCTTCTCTGCTCATCAAGGCTGCATTATTTGATCAAAAATACAGGTAAAACTGTGGAATATTATTACAGTTTTAAACAGCTGTGTTCTATGTGAATATCTGTTAAACTGTAATGTATTTCTGTGATGCGCAGCTGTATTTTCAGCATCATTCCTCCAGTCTTCAGTGTCACATGATCTTCAGAAATCAGTATAATATGCTGATACATTTGAAACTTGTCAGACTCTGTTCCGTGTTTTGTGTGTGTTTTGCTTCTTGTTATAGAAGAAGATGATAAGCATGCTAAGCTGTGTTCTCTGTCCATCAGATCTCTGTCAGTCTTCAGATGAATTCAGCCCGGCTCCTGGTGAGTCTGTCGATAATGTTATAATTATGACACGACTCTCTGAAAAGAATATTTGAATACTTAATTCACACTTAAAAATGTCATTTATTATAAAGAAAGATACAACAAGGTATGAAATGATAAAACATTAGATGATGTTTGTTTTTCAGGACAATCGCAGCACACACGCCGTCCAAATAACGCTGCAAACAGGAGCACTTATGATGGCATCTTCATATTTATCTTCCTGTCCATCATCATCTTCATTTTTGTCACCTAGTTTTATTGGGTGAGAAGAAAAAATGAAAGTGTTTGATATAGAGTAACAACATTCAGTGATGTAAAAGCGGCTCATTTAATTTCTCGCTGCTCGTTTCAGGTCGTTTCTGTGTGTTTCGTGGTGATGACTTTGGATTCTGCGTCGTGGAGATCAAACCCAGAGATCACAACAGACCATAACAGAAATATATCCGTCTGTTTATATAGATACAACTAACAAATCTGTCCCTCATGAATTATAAATCTGATTATAAATCTTCACAATGTTTGATCAGCCTCAGTAACTGATAAACTGTAGCTGTATTCATAGTTAATTTTCACGAAAATATAAGATTATAAAATGAAAACTATTAAAAACTTTAGTACTATGATCAATATACAATATTATATCATACATGTAACTTCAATTTTTATGAAGAAAATTGTGTTATTTCTCATTAAAATAAATATATTAAACGCTATATAAAATATATTATATTTAACTAATTATATATAGTTTTTACATTTGAGAGAAACCCCTTAAGCTATATCTTATATTATATTATATATCATATTATATATAAGCAGATTATATTTAATTTGTACATTTGCGAGAAACCCCTTCAACTTCTCCTTGATATAAATTGGAAGCCAAATTGAATGTAAAAAAAAAATCAAACATTATGAAATGTAAATCAGGATTTTAATTTGTTATCTCTCTTTTATCTAATCTATAAATCAGTTTTTCTGTTAATGTATTCTCTGTTTTTCTGTAGTTTGCTATATTTCTGTTCTCCTTTTTAACAGCTGCATTTAAAGACAGATGCTAATTTCATATAACATTAAAAGTGTTTATGGCTCAGTATTGGTGTCTGCGTCTGAATAATTATAAACTGTAGATGCCATATTTCATTTGTTCATTAATGGCTTTCTACATCAGTTTGCTCACTTGTGCTCTCGCCGCCTCTTAGAGATGAACACAGAAGCTGCTGGCCGTGACCGCTTCCTCACCTGAAAACACACACACACACACACAGGAGAAGCTTAACCTCTGTCTCCTGAAGAATCCTCTGCGCTCCACATGAGCCTGATCATGAAATAACAGAGATTTCAGAAACCCACCGCTGAGTTCAGAGACACGCTCGCAGACGCTCCTGGTCAGTCCCTCCACGATGGAGCTCATCACGCTGAAATCAGCCGCGTTATACACGTGTGTTTCCTTCGGCGGAGAGGCGATGGCTCTCAGCTCGTTCTCATCGGCGTTCTTCACTCCTGCAGATTCACACAGTCAGAAAACAGCATTTACTTACAAACCGTATTTAAGTGAGAGCTGGTTTTGTTCTGGTACCGATCGCAAACAGCTCAATCCCAGCGTCTCTGAGTCTCTGAGCAGGAGAAAGAACATCGTCCTGTGATTTCCCATCTGTGATCAGAATCCCAATCTTAGGAACGTCAGGTCTGGATCCAGATTCAGCTTTGAAGCTGTTCTCCAGAATATACGTCAGAGCACGACCTGAAAACACACACACACACACACACGCGTATGAACAGATGAGTTACAGTGAGAATCATTTAGATTTGTGTGTGTGTGAGTGAGTGAGTCTTCGAGTGTGTATGGGTGTGTGAGTGTTTGAGTGTGTGTGGGTGTGTGAGTGTTTGTGTGTGTGTGTGTGTGTGTGTGTACCTTTGAGTGTGTTTCCTCCTTTATAAGGCAGATTCCTTATGGCGTTGATCACATCCTCTTTAGTGCTGTGAGTGTTCAGATGCCACTCGACCCATGAATCCTTGCCGTACAGCACTAAACCTGAACACACACACTCTTGCATATGTGGTTTATAGGGACTCTCCATAGGTGTAATAGTTTTATTACACACACAAACACAGTGAATCTAATCCAATACTGAACACTAAATACAGCACAAGCCCAGTGAAACTGCTGTTCCCTAGCAAAAGCTACTCTCGATGCTGCGTTCAAAAATGCTTATGAGAACATTCTTTGTTCGACCGGTTGTGAAGAATGTGTCAAACATGCCAAGAATTGGCTTAAATAACCTCGGTAGGTGACGTCATTAATTACACGCACCTGAGAGGTTATAAATACAGGTTTCTTTGTCTTCAAGGACCGTATTGTGTGTGTGTGTGTGTGTGTGTGTGTGTGTGTGTGTGTGTGTGTGTTTGTGAGAAGCAAGTGTTTCTCCCTGCTGCATTACAGTAAAAAAAAAGAGAAAGAAAGACTTTACTTACCATCATTATGTCGGTGTCTGAGAAGAGATGCGTGCCTGCTTGTCAGAGGCTCATCTCGGAGAATGATCAGCATCATTTTTGCTTCGAGTGTTTGGGGGATGAGCACGCTGCCCTCGGGCTCGAGGGAGAATGCGAGCACTGCGATCTTTTGCCAATCAAAGTGCTTCGCGCGCAGCTTGCTTTCTTTAGAGACGAGCGAGTCGCCGCTCCCTCGTTAATATCCTGGGGGTCGCGTGTAGATCTGGCTGAGGCGCGTGGGACGGCTACGGCCCTTTCTCTCGACGGCTCGCCGTGGGCGATTCCGGTCAGGAGAGATCTTCTGTCTAAGGCGCACGGGACAGTATTGCATCCCCGGCCTGAGCTCTGGAACCTTCATGTCTGGCCTCTGAGGGGGACCAACTAAGAGATGCTGGGCTTCCAGCCGATGTAGTAAAGACTATTCTAAGTGCTAAGGCTCCCTCCACTAGAAGAAGTTATGCCCTCAGATGGTGTGTTTTCGAAAGGTGGTGTATGACACACCATGCAGACCCAGTTCACTGCCAAATTGTTCCAGTGCTGGAGTTTCTGCAAGAGAAACTGTCCTCAGGCACATGTCCTGGTACATTCAGAATCTATGTGGCCACCATTTCAGCTTACCATGCTCTGATTGATGGGGTTTCTGTGGGAAAGCAGCCTTTAGTCGCAGTTGAAGCCGCCCACTAGAGCGACAGTCCCTTCGTGGGACTTAGCTATAGTGCTCGAGGGTCTGGTCGACACCCCTTTCGAACCACTTGTCACCTGTCAGGTTTCTGACTCTAAAGATGTTTTTTCGAATGGCTATTACTTCTCTGAAGAGAATTGTGGATTTGCAGGCTCTGTCAGTCTCACCATCTGTCGTAGATTTGTATTGGTTAAAATATGAATTGTTCGAGTGTAATCATTATGAATATAACCATTTAAATATCCAGTTATTCTTCCATTATAATCACATATGCCTGTGTGGAAAATGCCTACGTGGCTAAAGTAGACAGGCCCTAAGATTAGAAACATCTGGGAAACATAAGTGGGGGCCTTCTTTCTTTACCATAACAAGAACCCCTTCTGTCTAGGGAGAAATTTATGCACAAAGGAACCATTCTATGTACGGAAAAATGTATGGAATATATATAGACTACACTACAAATTGGCGACCCAGATGGGACTGGAAAAGAGCAGAAGAGTGGACGACCACTTTTAGGCTGACTGAGACAAGCAACACAAACACGGTGGCCACCGAATAGGTAAGCAATTTTGCTTATATAATTTGTTTGTGTTGTTTGCCGGTCTGCCCTTGGTGGTAAGGACACTTAAAATCTGCTCTTCCAGAAAATAGAAAATAGAAAATAAAAAAATGAAAAAGGGGTTTTGATGCCAGAAGAAATAACTGCATGCACAGATTTGGTTTAATATTAGGAAGGTCTTGATAGGTAACCTAAATTGAAACTGGATGGTGTAGACAGAAATACATTACATGTAATGGTCTGTGTTTATTGTGGATTGGGCCTGAAAGGGCAGCAATCAACAATGAAGCAGATATAGTAAAGGAAAGCGCGCCAGTCCTACGGATACTGCTTTGAGAAAGAAAATGGTTGTAAGGAGGCTCAAAGGGCTGCACGGGTAGGCAAAAATCCCTGCTGGGCGCTGATTTTTTACTGAGTTGAGGGAGATTAATCAGTAAAAGAGCGAGAGCACTGCAGGTCACTCGAGGAAGAGTGTAGTGTTTTGTTGAATGAGACTGAAACTGTCTGTGTCCGTATGCATGTCTGAATGAGTGATGGTGAATGTATGAGAAAATAAATTTGAAATACATTTTTTTTAAATAAAATTAAAAATTGAAACAAGATTTTTTTATAGGCTTTTGCATTTTGATGTCTGTGTGAAAGGAAAGGAGAAATTTTTCAGAGATCAGTGCAGTAGAAGTGAGATCAAGGCACTAAGTTAAATAAGTATATTAAAAAATAATTATAAGTGCGGACAAAATAATAAAGAGAAGTAAAGATAAATAAAAAATTATTATTAGGAATTTTTACATACTGAGTGATTGTAAAATAAAGTTGAGACTATCAATTCATAAAAAAGGTAAATGCATCAGACAGAATAAAGACTAAAATTAGGAGAAATGGGTTAAAATAATTAAAGGAAATAGAAAAAATTGGATTATAATATTATAGGAAAAAGTATGGCAGCCACTCCAGTGGAAATATTAGGATTAAAATAACCACTGAGTAAAGAGTTAATAAACAAAATCTCAAACAAATGGCAGAAGAGAAGCAAAAAGGGAAAAAGAAAAATAATTGATAGCCATGTTTAAAAAAGAAGGGGAGGACATATAAAAAAAATAGAGAACAGGCCAGAAAAATATTGAAAGAGGCAGACAAAAATACGAAGAAAAGGGAAAGATTATTTTCTGAGCCGCCCCCCTATTTGCCCACAGAAGGCGAGTTTCTTACAATTGTTACAATTATTACTGTGTCACAGTGCCACCCAGTGGCCAAGTAAAACTTTACAATAAATGACTCCAACACATTGTGTGAGGAAATGGAAACTCTGATAAAAAAAAACATAAAACTAAGAGTATCAGTAAGAAACGAGAAAAAAGAGAAGCAAAAAGAAAAAGAAGTGATAGCCATGTTTAAAAAGGAAGGGGAGGACATTAAAAAGTATAAAACAAGCAAGGAAGAAACTGAGAGAGACAGAGAAAGAGACAAAAAGAAAGGGGGGAAAGTTGTTTTCTGAGCCACCCCCTATTTGCCCACAGAGGGAGAGTTCCCAATCCTCAAGGGAACAGTAGAAGTAACTGGAGAAATGCAAATAGAAGGGCCAGTAGAGCTGAGAGAAAAATAAAAAAGGAACCAGCTGTGAAAACACAGCGGCAACAGAGAAAAGAAAGTGAAGGATATTATGGTCTCAACATGACACAGATATAGGATTAATAAAATCAGCAAATCCAGTAAGAGTAAAAAGGAAGGGGAGGACATATTAATAAATATAAAATAGGCAAGAAAAATATTAAAAGAGGCAGACAAAAATACGAAGAAAAAGGAAAGATTATTATCTGAGCTGCCCCCCTATTTGCACACAGAGGGAGAGGTCCAAATCCTCAAGGGAACAGTAGAAGTAACTGGATAAAGGCAAATGTAAGGACCAGTAGAGCTGGGAGAAAAAGAAAAAAAGGAACCAGCTGTGAAAACAAAGAGGCAAGAGAGAAAAGAAAGTGAAGGATATTTACAGATGGATTGTTATAGACAGGCACGCATAGCTTTAGAAAAGATGAAAACAAATCAAGATAGAACAAACTGAGGAAATGTTAGAAGAAATAGAAGAGAAAATTAAAGAATCAGGAAAAAAGATACAAGACGTAAATAGAATGTAAAGAGGGAGAGGTAAGTTGTTTGAAAGTACAGAGGATGTGAATGAAGAAAAGGAGTTATTTGATAGCGGAAAATGGGAACAGGGCAGAGGAAAAGGAACACTCAGACCACTGGCTGCACAACTCCCAATTTTAATCAAGGGTGCGCAGAGACAGTATGCCCCCTGGGCCTCACAGGACCTCGAAGGGCTGGTCACTCGCCTCCCAGATATTAATGAGGGGGCTGGCAAATGGATCAGAATATTTGAGGAAGAAACTATGGGCAAACTTTTGGCTGTGGGAGATATTAAAGCTTTTCTGGCTAAAATGGTAGGAGGGGCAAAGATGGATGAAATTCTTCGAACAACTCCTCTGGACAGAGCAGTAAACTCTCATAATATGGTTGGAATTGTTTTTGATGCATTCCGTCCAGCAGTGTGGCAGGCACTGCGTGCGGAATACCCAATCAGACTGGACCCTAAATCATTAAAAGAACAAGATCTGGGTGACACAGAAAATCCAACCACATATGTCCAGAGACAGCTGAAAAGATGGAAACAAGAGACTGAAGGGAATCCAGAAGGAGACCCATTAATGGCAACATTGTTTAGACAGGCTGTGATTGATGCTATGCCACCAGCCGTAAAGAGCAGGCTGGAAGACGTGGTCGGGTTAAACTCTAAAACACACAAAGAGTTTTGTGACCATGTGTCTCATGCCGTAGAACAAAACAGAAAAAATGAGCAAAAGCTCAAGAGCCAAGAGAAAGAGCTACAGCAAAAACTAACTCAATGGAGACAAAAACCAATACAGAGAGGCCAGAGAGGAAGAGGCAACCCGTATACTGGTCCTCCAGGTGTGTGCTGGGCAAATGGACAGCCCGGACATAATAAAAATGACTGTCCCACGTGTCCATGGCAACAGTACCCTCAGGGTGGAAGGGGGGAGAGCTGGCAACAGCCTAACCGAGGTACGTCACAGGGCCCAGTTAACCCGTGGGGAGGTCCCAATCCAGGCTATTAGGGGTGCCCAGAGAATCCTATAGGGGAGAGTCAGCTTCCAATTTTAACAACTAAAGCTGATCAAGAGCCTATTATGCAAATTAAGATAGAAGGAAAAACCACACCCATGATGCTAGACACAGGTGCTGTCTATACCTGTTTAAATTTAAAATATGCCTCACATCTCCCCTT